GCTATTCAGCCACCCTCCTCAAAGAACTACTTCCCCTCTCTCCCAGAAAACTGCCCGTGACCTACACCAGTGCTGACCAACATCTCTGCACAAAGCAACTGTGGAACAGTGTTGGAAGATGGATACCAACACTCCCTACGGCCCATTTGTTTTCCCACCCTCCTGCTCCTGCCCTTCTGGGTCTCCTCTTCCCCACTTAACACCCAGAAATCACTTTATTGAGGACTGATCCAGCAGAAGGACTGCTAACACAATCCAGCTCATTACACAGTCACCGGTGCTGGCACACAAAGAAACATCATGGCCAGAAGAAAAGCCTGACTGGCTCTTCCAGCATTCCTGGGATGGCCCAGAGTCCTCATGAAAGCCCTGGGCTGCCCTGGCACAGAGGGCTGGCCCACCCAGCACCTCCTCTGCCCACAGACCACACCTGCTGTGTTTGCACAGAGCCACCGTGGGCAGGCAGTGGTTCTGTCACCACCAGAGAGGTCAGGCTGCAGGATGCCAGCATGCCAAAGTATCCAGGAGTAAGCAGCTGCCCAAAACCAAACCATTCCCAGAAAAGGCAGTTCTGGACAGCAAAGGCAATCCACAGGGTGCTGGGCTGTCTGTCCCAGGAGCAGCTCAGGAATGGAGAGGAGGCTGCAGGACAGGTGACTTTTGCTAGAATCCAGAACCCGTGCACCATGAGGGTTGGCCTCCAGGATGTCCTCCCCAGTCACATTCCATCACAACCCAGCACGTGGCTGGGGAGGTAAAACCAGTCAAGAGACTGAGCTGGCAGTCAGGAACACGCAGTGTCACCCACAGACAGCTCACCTTGCCCCAGCACAAAGAGGACAACAAAGATGACTCGTCCTTCTGAGTCACAACAGCCTGCAAGTTGTGGGTTGGCTGCCCTGCCCTCATGAGCCTCTCTCCCTGTTCCTGTTTACCAAGGAGAGATTGTCTAATGGGGAAACAGAGGCCGTGAGATGTGCTGACAAATCACCAGCAAACAGAAACATGTATTGGAGAGAGAGAGAGGACAAGAGCTCAGTGCTTCAAATACAGCTAAGGTCGAACTGCGAGCACCACGGTGATAAAAGCCTCAGTTATTTGTGGCAGCTCAGGAACAGAAGAGTCACAGACATTTCTGCCAATCTGTTCATCCAATGAATGCTGGAAGCAAGCCATCCACAGAATCATGGAGAGGTATGGACTGGAAGGGACCTTGGGATCTTCCTTCTTCATCCTTCTGCCCGAAGCATAAATAACTCTGAAACTTTTACCAGGTAGTTTGAGGGCTCCCCCCGGCAAATCTGAAGACAGAGATGCCAAAGCCTCTCCAGGCATCCTGTTCTGGTGCACAACCATTTTCATGAGGAAAATTCTTTATGTCCAGCTGGCATTTCCCTTGCCTCAACTTGTGACCCATTACCTCTTGTCCTTTTGTTCCAGCTGACAACACTCAGGAGACAAGCACACAATGGCTCAGGAATTAAGTACCCAGCAAGCCTTAAGACAAAACTGCTCAACAACACTTTGAACAGAACAAAATGAGGGTTGCTGCAATCCAACCCTTCCCTTCCCTCTCCCAGCTCACCCCATCCCTTTATTGACTCTCCTTCAATTAATGTCAGGGAGCAGAACCCTAAAAAATAGTCCCCAATTTAAAGAGGAAAAAAAAAAAAAAAAGGCAATTTCTGACAGTGACGTCAGTAGATTAAATCACCATTAATTATTTTGATGTGGCCAGCTTTAAACTAGTTATCTCCTTTAACCAGCTCACCACAGGACAGGGTAGCAGACTGTCAGCATGAAGGAAGGAGCAGAAACAAATGACAAATGCAAAGGCAGAATCCCACAGTCTCGACGTGTATCATCCTAAAGTGCTGTGGAACCACTCCCTGTGTGTTCACCACAGACAAGGAGGTGAGGGGAGGGCTGGAACTAGAGATTGCAAACTAAATTCTCCTCTGCTCTTTGAGGATAAGAACCATCCCCTCCCTCCCCAAAAAAGTAGCAGAAGTAACAGATCAATCTACTGACAGATCTGATTTGTTCTGTGTTACCCAGAAACCTTGTCAAGGCAATCTTTCAGGGGTAGCCTCCCCTCTCCCAGAAAAAACCCAAACCAAATCAAAAAACCCACATACAAAAATCAAACCCAGTAAACAACCATGACCTCTTATCAATCAAGACTAAATCCATCAGGATAGGGAATGACCACCATTCAGTAAAAAGTAAGTTTCAGTCATCTTTCTATCTCTGAAAGGATCGTGCTTCTATCTCACTGCATGAGCAGTGGAAGATCCAAAGCTAAGAAAAACTGACCCAACTTCAGTTTCTTACATGCACCAAATGGACTTCTGGATGCTGTACTTGCTTTGAAATATCCACCAGTAAAGGATTTTACTGATGCTGAGGCAGAAAAGTCCAGTGATGGCAAAGGGAGAGTTTTCAAAAGTCATTTTGTTTGCTCTTTTAGCAAAAGCACCATTATGGGGCAGGTCCACTGAAGGGCAGGAGAGACAGAGAATGCAAAAGAGGGAGCTCTTCTGCCAGCAGTGGCAGTCAGAAGCAACCTGTGTCTGTGGTGCTGCAGTCCTTCCCTCCCTCCCTCTCTCTCCCCCTGTGCTGGCACTGGGGTTTGCAAATTGAGCACAGGAGTACCCAGCCTGGAAAATGGGGGGAGGCAAGGGTGTGTGTTTTCACTGCTAGGATACAACGTGGTGGGAGGAAACAAAGGGAAGAACCACAGCATACTGGATTTAAATCCCCTTAGTCCTGTGAAAAACAAGGGAGAAGTTAAAAACGTGGTCCTGACACCTCAGTGGCCTCCAAAGCTCAGGTTTCGCTACCACGGTGACACCACCAATCCAAAACTGGCACTGCCTGATGCCAATCCAAGAACCCTCTTGGCACAGCATGTCACAGACAGGCAGCATCTCCTGCCAGGCCCATTTCTTACCCTGCAATTTTAGTTGCTGCTGTTTATTAGCAAGTGTCAGCACCTGAGCAGAGTGCAGAGCCCTGAACTAACAACTGTGGGCACAGAAAGACGACTGCTTTGAGCAAGATCAGCCAGAATTCCTCAAAGAACACTTCCTGAAATTCAGTGCACCGAAGTCTTTTTTGACCAAGTCTTTGTTTTGAAACCAAAGCACTCGCATTTTAAACCTAAATGTGAAATGCCATCACCAACTCCAGCAAGAGAAACACAGGGAATAACATCACATGATCTTCATCTCACTACCCCACACAGCAGAAATCAAACAACCATCTCCAGAGCAGAGGCTTTACACTTGAAATAACCCTTCTGGAAATGAGCTCAGAGAGATTCCTCTCCCTTTGCTAAAGGGCTTCCAGTAGAGTTTCAAGGAACGTGCTTTGCCACTTACACAGTTTGAAAGCCTCTTTTCATTCCCTCAATCCCTTTAGATGTCTGGACTTTTACTCCTTTAAACTCAAGTCACCATGGTGGAATAAACATGAGAGAGCTTCCTAGGAAGAGATCTCTGCCTCAGTTCACTGGTACAACACACAGAGCCTCTGGTAGGTACAATTCAAACTGCTGAAGCTGAGACACAAAAGCACCTTCTCAAGTGACAGCCAGGCAGCAGCTACAATGGAAATTCACAACTACAAATCCCCAGCACCCCCATGGGCAAGGTAAAAGTTGGATTTGTCTCTACCAGCAAAACAAAAGCAAGGCACAGGAATGGCTGAGGCACCAGAGAAGCTCTCAAAGCCTCACCACTGCCCTGACTTTGGATCTGAGCTGTCAGCAGCTCCTGTTCAGACTGCTGTGTGAACACAACATGGCTCTGTGTCTTTGGAAGTATTCTGGAAAGTCACTGTAATTACAGAGTACAATAAAAACAACAATGGATCACTAATATAAAAAACTCTGATCTTGGGAGACAAGCAGAAAATTCCACTATCTCCCTTCAAGATTGATCTAGACTGCAGTAAGGATTAAGTGCTGTTCAGTGACCTTTTGTGATGTGATTTCTTCGGAAAATTGTCTTGAAGTTCACCGCAAACGATTTCAATTTTAGCAGTTACATCAACTAATCAAGGGCAGGGTTTCAAACACAGACAAGCAGTTAAACCCCAAGTCAGTGGAGTGAAGGAATAAAGATGGTCTTTTCCCTGCATTTGTAAGGAATTCAGCCCAGCATCCACCTCTGCAGATAACCTAGTAATTATCACAGGCCTAAATGCAGCACAACTTGGGATCCTTTACAAGTAGGACACTTCTCAGTTCAACAATGACAGCAAAAAAAATGCAACAGGAACAAGTCATCACTTTAATTTGGTTTTTAGCAGGAACACTTGCTGCCCTTCCCCACAACCCTTAAACTGCCCAGAGTTCAAATGTTATACTTGAAGGACTGGATTAATTAATTACAGTCCCTCCTCCTGTGTGGCTTTTCCTTCCAGATAGTTACACCTGCCATATTCCTCCTTTAGCAATGAACAGTGTCAGGGACATCCACCCACAGAACAGGATGACACCTTTATAATGAGTAAAAATTACACCTACACTTGCAGCACAAACCCAGACCTTGCTAAAAATGCCCCCTTTACTGCTTTCCCCAGTGCCCCAGTACTGCCATGACCACTCTTTACTGTGACAGCACCTCTCTAAGAGCCCAAAATTAAGTTCAAGGTTCCTCCTTTCCGTTTCACTCCACTTCTGAGGCATCACAATTCCAGAAATCCAAGTGACCAGACCTTGCCAGCAAGAGGGAAAACTATTTCAATTCGAACTGCACTGGAGACCCAGAGCCCATCTCAAACAGCTCAGGAGGGAGCTGTTCAGGTGCCTCTGCCTCCAGTGCATTCCACCACACGCACATCTATTGACCAGGAGAACAAAACCTGCCCGTGCTGTACCTGCCTGGCTCCCCCAGCAGCCACAGGACCTCGAACCCTTCCGGAAAAGGAGGTCAGAGTCCAGCAGAGCTGCCAGACACACACCCCCAGCCACTGAGCTGGAATGAGGCACTTACCCATCTCTACCTTTACTGACGATCTTCACTTCAAAGTAATAAATGCCACAGGCTGCAGGGATGGGGTGTGTGGCCCTGACCGAGGCAGCATCTTTGTGATTTTTACCGTGACCTAAGAAAGAACAGAGATGTAAGTACTGAGGGGATTTGGCCTCTCACACACCCTGATCTAAAGCCCTGCTGCCTGAGCCCAGCAGGGACCTGTTTCTACACGGAGCCAGCCATTTAAAGCACACTTTTCAGAGAACCAGCACATACAGCCCTGCACTGCCACCAGGGAAAATCCCTGCACGACCAGCTATGTAGTTTTCCCTTTGTTTTCACTGTGGAGTTTCTGAGAAAGACTGTCAGTGCCACCTCACCCCCTCCCCACAGACGTAATTTGAAGACCAACGTACACAAACAGAAGACAAAAATGATTACACAAGAGGGGAATGACATCAGTGTTTACTAACCAGGGAGGAAAAGGAATAATCGGTTCTCCACTGGGTGGGTAGGGAGGACAGCTCCAACAGCGAGCAAGCAAAACATCACACTCCAAGCCTGTGAGCGGCTATTCGGTGTGAGCCCGAGCAGCCAAAGCCCCAGTTACGCGGCGTGTCGAGGCCATCCGGCCCCTTGGCCGGGTTTTAAGCCGGATGACAGAGTAAACAGGCGGTCTGGCTACACCCGGGCCCGGGCGGGCGACACTGCACAGCGTTATATAAGGCCACACGCTCCGCCGGGGAGAGCCCCGGGCCCCACCGCCTCCGCCCCCGAGCCCGGGCAGCCCCGCCGGGTCCCCGGGCCGAGTTCGGTCCCGCCCGGCTCCCGCCGGTCACCGCCCACGGGGCCCTTTCCCCGGGGCCGCCGGATCCGCCACCGGCCCGGCCCGCGCCCGGCGGGCCCCGCGGAGCGGCCGCCCCGCTCCGGGTCGAGGCCGAACCCGGCGCCGCCGCCCCAGCCCGGCACCTTTGTAGTGGACGCGCAGGTTGCCCTGCGAGAGGCCGATGTAGTTGTACTTGTCCTTGGGGCTCCAGGAGCGCGGCAGCGGCGTCTCGTCCTGGTTGACGGCGGGGTAGAGGCGGCGGAGGCGCCGGCTCAGCTCCTGCTCCTCGGGCGGCCCCGGCGGCGCCGCGTCCCCGCCGTGCGGGCTCCCCGCGCCCGCCTCCGCCATCTTGGACCCGCTTTGTGTCAGCGGGCGGGGAGCGGGGCCCGGCCGCGGCTGGCGGCCAATGGGCTGCGAGCGTGCCCACAATGGGGCCGCGCCGCCCGACGGGAAGTGGAGTCCGCACCGCGCACCCCCGCCCGCTGGTGGCGCTTGCCCAGACTACAACTCCCGAGAGGCCGCGCGCTCGAAGCCCCATCCCGCCCCCCGGCGCGCTGCACGCTGGGAGCTGTGTCCCCGTCTCGCTCCGGTCCCGTCAGCGCCGCGGAGCGCGGGACTCCCATTCCCAGCGTGCTCCGCGACACGGCGAGGATCAGGGGCCGCCCCGCTCCTGCAGGCGCCCGCCGGCCGCCTCCGCGCACGGGCCGGGTTCGGCCGCCGCGCGGCGCCCGCGCGTCAGGCGCTGCGTGGGCAGCTAAGAGGGCGCGAGAGGGGGTCCTGCGGGCGGGGACGTTGCCATGGCGACGGGTAAACGGAGCGCGCGCGGCGGGAGCGACAAGGAAGAACAAACCGGGACTAAAGAACAAACCGGGACTAAAGAACAAACCGGGACTAAAGAACAAACCGAGCTCAGCCGGGAGGGGCTCCGGGAACTCACACCGGGAATAACCATCGGCGGAGCTCAGAGGGCAGGGATGAGGGGCCCCGCCTGACTCGGTGCAGCTCCCAGAGTCTCCTCCGGCTCCCAGCTGGGTCCAACCTCAGCCCTGGACTGGATCTGTTCCCCATTACATGCTGCATGATTTTCCCTTCCCTGAGAGAATATATAAATATTTATATTTAGTCTTTGTACATATCTAAATATATAAAAATCTATTTTTATATGTATTTTTCTATATATAGACGCTACAGTAAAAACCTTAAAATTCCTGCTGTGAAGCCACAGGCAGCAGGAAGAAAAACCAGATCCTATGAGTTCATTCTTAGGTCTATGACACACATAATTCCATGTCTCCATTCTTTTTCCATGTCTCTGTAGCAATAAACAGGCCCTTGTCACCATTCCAAAGCCATGATTGTCAGAGCAACTGGAGTCCTAGTTAAGGGAAGAGCTGCAGCCTCTTGCTCTGACTAAAGAGAGCTCCCCAGGAAGACACTGAAGGTGACGAAAATCACATGAGAGAAAGTTCAATCCCCATTTCTGTCCCTCCGAGCCTGGTACATGTGACAGGCATCATTCTTCCCCAGCTTCTGAACTGTTTTACAAAAGGTCACAGTCCTTGGCACCCGAAATCCTTTGCTGGGTCTGACCTCATTCCAGGCATGGTTCAGGTTCCGTACAATCCTACACCGGTTTTGTTCCGTCTCCCTGCGTGAGGAGCACGAGGGAGCACAGCACAGACCCCCTGTGTGGGACCACCATGGCTCCCCAGGGGAGCTGAGCCACAGAAACCACCCCGGGTGTGTCAAACACAAAGCCCCTGCTTGGCATGAAGAGCATCACCACAGCTAAAGGCCTGTCAGGAACATCCTGAACTCCGCAGTGCAGCAGCCTCTCAGGTCCCTGGCATAAGCAGCACTTGCATCATGCAGAATACACAAGACATTTTATTCCTCAGAGCTGTACAAGTATTCAGAGGGAACATAAAAAATTATGGGTAGTCAAACTGCGTGTAACAAGGGCCGGTGAGACCCAGCAGGGAGGGGTAAAGGCCACAGCACGAGCAGCCCTTGCTCAGGAGAACGTTGAGCAGTCCCTGCCCGACTGGTTCCGTGTGGAAAACCATCACAGGGAGCAGGGACGTGGAACACTCCACAGGCAGCCCCTGGGAGCGGATCGTGAGCACCCCACAGGGGTCAGGGCTGCACCTTCACCTCAGGGGATCACTTTGTTTCCACTCACAGCGACTGGAATCAGGAGCTTCCTGTACTCCAGGGGGAGGTGACGCTCTATCAGCACGTTCAGCGGCATCTTGTCCGTCACCAGCCCTTGCCTGTGGCCAAGAAGAGAAGAGCAGAGAAGAAACAGAGCTCTTAGTGCAGAGTCTTTCCACTCAGCATCAGAGTAAAGCTTTCTTGCAAGTGGTGATTTTGCATTTAACAGCTGAAATGCTGTGGCTGCCTGTGACAGAGAAGGCGCAGATTCCTGTTCTCAGGCAGTTTGTCGCGAGGTCCTGTGCACAGCACAGATTCCAGGCTTGCCCACACAGGGAAGCAGACCCAGAGGGTTCCTGCAGCTTCCCACAGAGCTTCCCTCTGTTCATCACGGGGATATTCATCTATATTGATCTGTACCAAAGCAGAGGCTCATTGCTTTTTAAATTCACAACCCACCTACCAGGGGATAAATTTTACCACCGTTTGAAAACACACAGAGAATGATGTAACTGAAAGAAATAGCTCAGTACCCAGCAGATTTCTTCAGTCACAGTTCAGAGGTGGTTGGCATTTGCCAACTGTGTAGGCCAGGTAGTTTTCCAGTGCACCATTTAGCTGACTGGCATGAAAAAAAAAAAATCAGCATCTCCCCAGTTTTGTGGAAAGAAAAAAGCACAGCATTTATTCACACTTTGCTTGTGAAAGGAACAGAAATACTGTTCTTATGCATGAACCAGCAGCAATTCCTGATCCCTTTAGGAGGCAGTGGAAAGGCACAAAGACATCTAGAAAAAGGTGAAATAACATGAGCACAAAATCCTCAAACCTGGCCAACCAACCCATTGTGCCTCTCAGCCTGTTCATGCCAACTTCTGCACACACCTGTCCCTTGGGAAAATGAAATCTCTGGATCAGGACAGCAACAGATTATTCTTTTTAAGCAGCAGCACCAGCTCTGCCTACAGAGGCCTGTGCTAAGCCAGTGTCATCAGCTGTGCCCTGCACAACACCTCAGGTGACTTTATCAACATTGGAAACTCTTCCAGTGCAGACCAAGAATAACAACCTGGAGTAATGACTTTCAGTGAAGAGCAATGGATTGTTTTAGGTTTCACACAGTTCTACAGAGGGCTGCCAAGCCAAGAACAAATGCCCTGTGCTTTGGACAGGACAAAGTAAATTCAGGCAGGAGCTGGGGCAGCTGAGGGAGCCCAGAGGACAGAGAGCAGTGAAGCAGCTCTGAGAACAGCTCATCCAGGTGCTGGGCAGGGAATGCCACCATTAGGTGAGGCCAGCCCGAGCTGGAGGCTCCTTCTCCTGCTTTGGAGAGGAACTGTCAGTTTGGATCCTAAGTATCAGGTTATGCAGAAGCAGCCAGATGGGTAATTTGTCTGGAAGAGCAAGTCACCAAAACAGACAGCAGGGCATGTGAAAATGCTCAGTGTCAGCTGCAAGTGCTTGTAGCAAAGAGATCGCTCGGGGATGAAATGGTGCAGCCCAGCTTCACTCTCAGCATTCACTTCTCTTCTACTATTTCCCAGCTGTAACTGCTTCACCCTTGCACAAAACCCCCTCCTCTTGCTGACTGCTCCTCAGATGACTCTTGCACTCCCAACCCATCGCTACTTCCTCTTGCCCCTTCCACCATCATCATCGAGGGTAAAACCCCAATTCCAGGGATGCCCTCCTGGGAGAGGTGGCCAAGTGGCATCACACAGAGTCAATCACAAGAAACCACACTTACTGTGCAAATACCTACTGCTGGTGCACACCCTGACAACAACCAGGTGTTACCAAAGCACCCCCAAAACTACTGCAGGTTAATAAGAAACAACCCTTTACCTTCTCATGAGCATTTCTACATCAGCCATCTCCACTGTTTTCCTCCCTGCATGGCTGGTGTAAGCTTCCAGATCACTGCTCAGCTGCTTGAAGTATTTCTCAGAGCTGAAGGGGGAATGGGGAAGGAAATCAAATCAGGCTGTGGATTGTGTGAACACACCAGCTGCTCCCCCACTTCTGCAGGGCAAGTTGCACTGGAGCTGCTCGTTGTGCAGGTCACAGCCTGCCAGGGAAAACTGGGGGAGAAGAAACTCTCCACCTCAGGAACAAAGCTTGGCTTCTCAGCCCAGGCTCCCTGGAACTCCACAGCCAAGAGAGGTGTGAAACAGCTGCACATCTGACAACCAGAACCTCTCCCAGACTTCCCACACATGCAGGAACAGGGATTGACACCAGTCAGAGAGAAATCAGCTCTGATAGTCAGACTACTGGCTCCTATGGTGACACTTCAAACAATCCACAGATTTTACAGATGAAGATAATATGGTTTATAGATCCAAAAAGCTGAGAAAACCTGGACTCCAATGGAACAGCTGGGACACCTCCACTGTGCCCAGCACAATGACCATTACCCAGAGCCATCCTGCTCATGGTGAATGATAACAAGGCTGTGACTGGTACAACCTTTTGTGACAAACCCAGATGCTCCTGCAAGGCCAGGTTGGTCACAGATACATAAACAGCAGCCCAAAGCACTTAGCACATTTCTGCCCTTGTCTTCAGACCTCCCATGACTCTTCCCAGCTGGAAAGGGAGGGCTGTCAGCTTGTCAGCAGCACTTCCAACAAGCTTATTACTTCAGGTGAAAAAATATAATTAAAAAAAGAAACCAAACCAAAACACTAAAAAGAGTGGGAAGAACAGTTTGTTGCTACTCACCATTTTTCAACAATTTTGAATGCTTCTCTGGTCACTGGCATTTTTACAAAATAGCTAAAAACCTCCTTTATCAAACTCCTTGCTATTTGAGGCTCCCGTGGTTTCCTTTGGGATGTTCCTGATCTCCCTGGAACTTGCTTAGGCTGCAGCAGCTGCACAGGAGACCTTGGAAGGCAATTGAAAATTCACACATGAAGTGAACGAGGCCGGGAGAGATGCAGAGAACACCAGGCTGAGTTTGGACAAACCTTATACAGAACTGGAAGGGGTAAGAACTACCTCGTGCTCTTCATCCTTTCTCCCTCCCAATTCTTCAAAACCCTCATGCCCAGGCAGGACAGTTTGCAAACAGTTCATGTGGCATCATGACCTCGAGAGAAGCAATCCAGAGAGACTGCCTGTTTGTGTGACAGACTGTCAGCAAACCCCAGTTGTCTCCCAACACATGGCTGCAGTTCCCACTGCATCCCTGGAGTATTCCCTCTCCAGGAGTGCACGAAGTTTGAGGCATCCACAGGTCACCTCTGTATCTGTGGACAGGGGAGGCTGCTCTGCAGAATACAATTCTACACTATTGCAAACTTCAGTGGGTTTATTCTGTGGGTTTTGATTGGTTGTTTGGTTTTTTTCCCCCTTGAACAAGACTGTAACTCCAAAGGAAGTTACAACTGCTTCCCATTCTAAAAAGGAAAAATTGTAATATGAATTAAGTGAAATCCACAGATTCACTCAGTACGTGATTGGAAAACAAGAGAAAAAACTTAGAACCTCAGGCTAACCCACAGAGGGAGTGCATGGATCACCTGACTCTCTCCAGTCCACCTGTATGTGGGCACAAGAATTTGGTCTTCTTGTTTATTGCTTTGACAAACAAAAATCTAGAGTCATGGGCTAGAAAATTCCTCCTGTTCCCTAGGACCCACTGGTAGTGGTTCTGATGAAGCATACAGCTTCATGAATTTCTAGTTAAGATGGTGCCAGTGTTAATTAATTTGAAGTAAAGCAGAGGACAGGTTCACTTTCTGCCTCTAGGAGAGCTTCATTTTATACTCAGCACGTGGCAACTGCACACAGCTTTAGGCTTCTGCAGTCAATGCAAGTGTGTCATTCCATGTGATCAGCACCTTGTCATCTCTAATTCCCCCACGTCTGCAAAGGCCTCTGCATCCCATAACAGACTCTATAGTTCCAGAGTAGCTCACCAGTGGAAAAACTCCTAGGGAAAGCTTTTGACCTTCAGCACAAGAAAATATTACAAGAACATTTATTGGAAATGCTGAAGGCATCAGATCTGCTCTGGAAGATTCGCTTGATTCACCCTTTACTCAGCTGCTGCAGCAGTGGACGATCCAAACCCTCCAGGACTCCTCACTCCCTGTGGCAGCTGGCAGAGCCCAGGGCAGCTGGCAAAGCCAGGCTCTGCTCTTCCCCCTGGACACTGACACCCTCAGACACTCTCCTGCCAGGCCACTGCTGGAGGTGCCTTGGACTTACTTGGGAGCAGCAGGTTTTTCATCCCGTGGAGCTGAGAGCAGGGGGTTGTGGGCTGCAGCACGGACAAACACAGGAGTCTTCATGGAAACCTCTGGGGGAAAAAAAGGACTTGAGGAACTGAACTCTCTTCTCAGAGCTCCTGCAGCACCCAGTGCTGCTGCAGCAGCAGAAACCCAGCCAGCTTCCCACAGGGCTGGCCCAGAGCACACTGCCTGTGCTCCAGTTGTGGCCCCACGGCACCCTGAGCCAGCACAGCTGCTGGTTGCTGCAATGCCAGATTTTATAACTCCCTCCAGCCAAGGCTCATGTGATCAGCATCTCACTTCTTCTCTGCTGGGAACTGCCCATAGCAGTTTCCTCCAAGTCTAGTCTGCACTGTCTAACTTCACTCTCGAAATTCTTCACTTCTTAACAAGTGAGAGCAGGAAAGAAAACATTAACAGAACTGAAACACTGAGCAGCTTCCTGTCTGGAAGAGGAGTGGTCACCCAGGGCTTCTTGCCTGATAGTTTCCCTTGCAAGCTGAGTTCAGCCCAACAATCCAGCCTGTCTGCAATGGTGGCACCTTCCCAAACATCCCCTAAGAGCTCAGACACCTGTCCTGTTATAGAAGCCAAGCCCAACAACTAGAGGCTTCAGGTACTACTGAGAGTTAAACCCCCCAGCTGGAAGGGTCAGAGGATCTCTTGGAGAAAGCAAGGCTGGGTGAACCACTGTGGCTGCCTGCATTAGCTTCTCCTGAATAAACATCTCTGGGCACTGGAGGAACAGGGACCAGGATGCAGGGAAAGGGACTAGTTATCCTGAGATTTCTGAGGCAAGATTTATGACAGAAGTACATAATTTTTCCTCTTTCCTGACTCTCCTTGTCCAACGAGACCTGTAAGGTGCTGCTCATACTGTTCCACTCAATCAGCAGAGATCTGCAGCCAGATCTTCCCATCTCTTCATACAGCTGTGCACAAGATAAGCAACTGCAGACACCCAAAGAACACCTACAGCTTTTCCTTGTGGCAAAAGGGTATCAGTTCAACTTCTGTCTTTGTGCACATTGCATAAATACACAGAGACATTGATATTCTCATTACAGCTGAATACACCTGAAATCCTAGCAATGGGATTTTATGATGTCCTTAGTTCAGGTTTTTTTATTTCAGGGTGTATTGTACTTCAAAAGATTTTAAGATCGGTCCCAGAAGACATCACTAAAACACTCTGGGCATTCTCAAACATGGCCTTGATCAAAGAGAACTCAGTCTGATGGATCAGTTCTTCCAAAAGGCACCAGCACTGATGAAGTGTCTGAAGAACTGCTCAGAAACTCTCAGCTTTCTGAAAAAACAGTCTACTTTTTTTGTTAACTGGACAGGAAACCTGTAACTACATCTACAAAACACAGGGTTCTAAATTAGGTTTCAAGTCTGGAGTCATGTAAATGCCTGTGGAAAACAAGAGTTCAAGGCTCTAAGACATTAAAAAGTTGGCCTGAAATTAGGAGTCAGGAAGGAAAGAACAGAATGCCAAGGTATAAACCCACTCTGCACTCAGCTGCATCTGTTTTGTGCACTTCCACCACCTTCACCTCAAAAAGTACAAGATGATCTTGGTCCCTGAAGCACCTGATGAGCCAATAACAATCTGGCCCTAGAAAGAGCAGCCAACAGCTTCCCCTGTACTCTCTGATGGACTAAACAGTTAATAACATTATTAACCTGTTTTTTCTCAATCTAGGGAGAGATAACAGGGAAAAATTTCTCCAACTGCCTCTGCTGCTGCTGCAACTTTCTTACCATGACTTTCAGGATGTTCACTTTCATCCTCAGCAGGCTCTTCCTCTGGATCATCCAAATCTAACACGATAGCCTGGTCCTCTACCACATCCTGTTCATCATCTTCCTCTAATGGATTCATCCCAGATTTTTCAGATGAGGAGAGAGCATCAGAATGCCTGTCCAGACTTCTAGTTCCAACATCTTTGGCAGTCTCATGTTCTAGATTTCCAAAACAGGAAAAACACAGCACTGAAACAAGTACCATAGACAAAATTTCAGAGCACTCATAGCAATGAAATCCAACTTTCAGTTCCTGACAACCACCTATTACCTTCCCATCTGCAAGGATTAGGGTTGGTACACAAAGCCAGATAAGCTGAAGCACTGATGAATCCTCAACTTTTCCCTCTGCTACATCCAGGTGTGCAGAGGTCCCACAGAAAAAAAGCCCTTGGTAATGTGAAACCCAAGAGATTTGAGTGAAATTTTTATCTGAGCTCCTTTCAAATTAACTTTCTTTAATAAGCACTTCTAACTCAAAAGGTCATACCAAAGCCTTCACTGCAGTATACTGACTACAGAAGACCCAGCAATGTAGGAAAAGTAACTTGGGAGATTCCAATTTGTCAACTCACTCAGAAGGTCTCCAAATTTTTTTCAATCTTTGCCTGATTCTGGAACTTCCACCAGTAAATTTTAACTAAAGATGCATTCTGCAATTACCTATTTCTAAACACTACTGCCAGTGCAATTTTGGTTTCCCTTTGGGCAAAACCCAGTCTTCCAGCTTAAAATGACAAAATCAGTTTGGCATGTTCCCAGTACTTAGCCCAGATTCCAGAATGCAAAGGAAGTGCAGTCTCTCTGCCAGCTGTGATGCCAGTCAGGCAGCCAGGGAGGTCTCTGGCATCAGGGATAACCATCAGCATCAGGGGCTGTGCTCACCAGCCTCGGGAGACACGTGGGCTCCAACGCTGCCTTCTGCCAGTCCCTCTCCTGCTGAAGGAGCTGTGTCTGTTTTGTCTCTGGTGTCCTGTGCTGCAGTTATCTGCAATCCTGCTTCTTCAGCCAGTTCCTTCTCCAAGTGTTCAGAATACCCAGCACTTGCACCATGTTCTGCAGCTAAAACAGGAAATTCTATCATACATCTTACCTACCAAAAAATCCCCCAATCAGCCACCAGCACACAGTTTAACAACCACTGATATGTATTTGTGATAAGTTAACTCAGCCATAAGCTATAAATAAGGGAAGCAGATGCAGTTGCCTTTACAGCTGAGAAATGCCCAACCTTTCCTGTGTTTGCTTTACAGCCACCTAATTAGGGAGCACGTCAGATCCACATGAAGAAATTTTATTTACTTACAGGAAGCAGAACTCTTCCAGATCTGCCATCTCTACAGCCATTCTCCCTTCTGGTGACTGTGTGAAAGGCCAATTTCTTTTCCTTTAAGTCTAACAATACCTGGAGTTTTTGCTCAGATTCTCCTCCTCATTTCCTCAGTTTTTCTGAATAAACAGCTTTGTAAGAGATATATTCCATTGTAAGAAGAAAAATGCCTAGCAGTGGTTTTAACCATCCCAGACAAGCCTCTGGCAGGCAGGATGAGGAGAAATATATGGACATTTGACTTGCATGTCTTTAAAAACTTTAGCTACTGAAGTGCCAAACAGTACTTAAGTATTCCTTTTTCCTGCATAGTAAATCTACAGTCCACATGTCTGTTATCATGTAGCTCAAATTCCAGCAGAAACCAACACAGGTAATTACTTGGAGAAATCTGGGCACTCTCAGAGCATCATCACTTGCTGAAGAGCTTGGAAATCTTAGCTGAGTCCAGAACCAGAAGCTGTAAAAGTGAATTTTTACCATCCTCTCCACTAACTGGGAGTTTTCACACTCAAAATACAAGTTTGTCAAGGCCCAGGAGCCCCAAGCCCAAGTGAAGGGGACAAGGAAATGTGGCCAAAAGTGCTGCAGAAATCAGTTATACCAATCTCACTACCAGAATGATTGGGCTGCCCACACCAATGCAGGGCCTAAAGTGAAGTGAAATATTAACTAGCTCTGTGAGAAGATAAAAGCTCAACATGAAACTAAGCCTCCTTGGGCAGACAGGCAGCAGGGATTCTCTCACCCTGCTGGATCACTGCTGGGATAACAGTGGAGCACCAGATGCTGTCGATGGATTCAAGCATAATTTTTACTGATTTCTGCACTTGCTGCTTGTAGCAAAACCTCCTGTGAAAATGAAACTCAGCAGAACACAGGAAGCCGTGTCCACACCTACCCAAAGCTTTATGTACTGAACAGGTAACACCAGCCACCCCCAGCAGGGTTTTTAACAGCTCATTCTAAGGCATTTTTGAGCACAAGTCCTATGAGGAGAGGCTGAGGGAGCTGGGGTTGTTCAGTCTGGAGAAGAGAAGGCTTAGAGGCAACCTCATCACTCTCTTCAACTACCTGAAGGGAGCTTATAGCCAGGTGAGGGTTGGTCTCTTCTCCCAGGCAACCAACAATAGGACAAGGGGACATGGGCTCAAGCTCTGCCAGGGGAGGTTTAGGTTAGATGTCAGGAAGAAATTCTTTACAGAGAGGGTTATCAGGCATTGGAACGGCCTACCCAGAGAGGTGGTGGATTCACCATCCCTGGAGGTTTTTAAAAAGAGATTGGACGTGGCCCTTAGTGCCATGATATAGTAATTGGAGTTGGATCAGGGGTTGGACTTGATGATCTTGGAGGTCTTTTCCAACCCAATCTATTCTATGATTCTATGATTCTATGAAAGAGAAAACCAAAAATGTGCCTGTGGAAGCAGGAAACTTCCACGACTTGCTGTCTTCTAGGAACAGGAGGTACTAAGGCCCAGCCCACCTTTATTACTTAGGTGAGGTCAGCCTTCAATCCCTTGGTTTAAGGGCAGAAGATGCTGGTCAGTACTGGAGAAAGATAATGGCCAACATGGCCTAAATAAATACAGTAGAGTAGTAAAATGTACACGAAGAAAGAGTGATCAGCCAGAGGTATTCCTTGCCAAGAGGGAGCTCTACATCTTTCCCATGGGAAGGTGAGCAGTACTACAGAGCTACCAAAACATATTAACCTTTATTCCACTTGCAGTCCCAGTGAACAAAGCAAATACTGGCAAGGAAGCACATGAGCAAGTCACAGCCCACTTTTAGAAAGCTTGTCCAGAAATGCCCAGCATCTCTGATACAATTTGAATTAAATTCTCTCCAGCATCTACTGCACAATAAAATCTTACCTTTCTCTGAGAGTCACCTGAAAAACCTTGAATCAGATTATACTCTGTTCTCCTGCAACACTGAATGCACTTCTTACCCTCTCTGAAAAGCTTTTCCTGTTCCACTCCATTCACTGTATTAATCATCTCTTCTTCTGAATCACTTACTTCTAGATCTTCAATTATTTGGGATACAACTTCTCTCAAAGACATTCTGGAAGAATTTAGAGTGACTGGGGATCCCAAATATTTACTTGAACTTCTGGATGACAGAGAGGAGCTCAATCTACAAACAGCTAAAACAGAGAATTAATGTGTCCCTGGTATCTTTTTAAACTTTCTTTTAGCTTTCCTCATAGGTAAAAAAACCAACCAAGCAGGGAGAGAAAGACAACACAAGAAAACACTCTTCCTTTACTTGAAGCAGTTTAGAGAGGTCACAGTGTACCTTAGGAACCAGATGGAAAAATCCTTGCAACTATTCTTCTGCTCACCCTGAGGAGTAACACTGAGAGCAGCCTCTTTTGGTAAAACAGAACTAGGTCACCATTAACATCTGACATTATTGCCTTACTAACTCCAGCATCTTTAAGATATGCTCACTCCCCCTCATTTCATCCAGTCCCCTAGTCCACATCCTCCACACTTTTCTTGGCATTATCTATCCCTTTGTCCTAAAAATGCCGAATATTGGACTCTTCAGAGCAACTAACTGTTTTCTGTTCATGCCTTCCCCTGTCCTTCCAAAACAACTTTTGCCTGGTCCAAGCAATATGAGGAAAACATGTTCCCATTTACACAGCCAGGACAAGGTATTTCCAGGGAAATGAAGGGTGAAGAGAGGTACCAGACACCAGGGAAAAACTGGCAAAGCATTGGTACAGAGTGACCAGGGAGGCTACTACCTCTGTCCAAGGGATTTTTAAGGCCCAGGAGACAATGAAGCTGTGACAAATAAGTGACCACACCAGAGTAAAGGTCTAGACTCATAACTTCCTGAGACTTCTTCCACATCTGTCTACATGTCCTACATATCATCTCTGTTAAGCCCAAATCCTAATCCACAGTACTCACAGCCAGCCACCTTCTCTTCATGAACAGAAACCCGCTCCACTGGATTACTCTGCTGGGAATGATCTTGCTGATCTTCTTGCTGGTTTGCAGGTGTTCCTGGAGATACAGGAGCCATTCTGTCAATGTGCTCCTGATGAAGGCCCAAGTTCTCAGAATGTCTTTGTGTCCTTCCCTCGTTTGTGCCCACACCGGACACCAGACCCTCCGGCCTTGCTGTGTCTTGAGCTGCATCAGAAATCTTGCTCCTCTGTGTTGGAGTTTTTGAATGTGACAGCTGGGGTTCAAGAGCAGAAAGTTTATTTTGGCTCTGTTCATCACACTGAGGCTGAACAAAGAGCTCTGTGTTGTTCAGCACGATCTCTGCATCACTGGTCATCATGGTTGTTCGAATCCCAGACACGGACTGCGAGTCCACAAGATAGTTCTGTGCTGTTTAGAAAGTTTTAAAACAAGTTTTATGTGAAAAACTGTTCAAGGTCATAGGGACACCCTTTATTACCAGGACTTGCATCATTCAAAATCTAAGTCATTCAACCAAATCTTACTCATCCTCAACAGATCAAACACTGAACCTACATGACCCCACTTCAGTGCCCCCAACTTTCCCTACCAAACTGTAGAAACCCCAGTACCCACAGAGGAAGATGATGCCAAATGATTCATGTGATTTAAGTCACCCAACTGGGCAAAACACACATTTAAGTGCACAGAGTCAACTACAGAGGCAGAGCCTCATTCTAACCTCAGTTCCCAAATCACACTCTACCTCTGTGGGCGTGTCAGTAACCTTATAACTGCAAAACACAGGCCACGCCTGAGTAACTGCTTCTGAAAGCCACCTTAGGAGAGGCCCTTCCTCCCCAAAAGAGAAATAACAACACAAAAGGAACCATTGCTCTTCAGCATGTTCTGTTCCACTCTGCCCTCGAAAGCTTCCATGTCAATGGCTTTGTGGTTCCTCGGCCTCCGGAGCAAACCCCTCTTCTCAACAGTGTCCGGGGCCATCAAGGAACCAACAGACATTCGGAGGGATCTGGAGACACAGGAGGGAAGAAACCATTTGTCAGCATCACACCCCCTCAGACCACAGGCATGATGGTACTAACAGTGAGACACATGACAAAGCCAGGAGGAATTCCCCCCAAAAAAAACCCCTTGAAGATTAAATGTCAGTCTTTAAACAACTGGTTTAACTTCACAGTATCAGCCAGCATCAGGTTATGTATCACAGGGATTGGGAAACAGACTTTTACAGCCTCCCTGAGACACCACAGCTGACCAAAGGGTCAGAACTTTTAAGAATTTTAAATAATAAAAAAAAAAAAGGGAAAGCAGATGTTTGGGAGTAAAATGTACTCTAGATGACAGCAGGGTGGTAGGAGGACTTCAGAACAAGTTTAAGAAGCTGCTTAGTGTCAATGATCACCCCAAAGTACAGCTACCAACACACTGTGACTGTTCTGAGGTGGGAGCTAAGATAGCAACATGTAAAGCACAGGAAAGGATGTTTTTCACTGTACATATTTTGCACCCTGGACACTGACCATTCTCAATTACCTCCTGTCCCTTTATCTAGGCAGCCCAATCAAAAGGGGGGTTCAGAGGCTTCAACAAAGACAGAAAATATGGAATTCAGCCCCAAGAAGCACCTTGTGTGGCACCAAAGGCGAGGGCTGCAGTGAGAAAGGCGAAATAACGTGCTGACTTTGCAAACGTGCTGCTCACTTGCAAAGAACACAGGCAATACAATAAAGTTCTTTGACCTGCTAAAAAACTTCAAAGGTCCAGAAAATACTGCATAGATTCAAGTGATGAGATGAGACAATTAACAAGCAATGATGATTTTCTATTTTGTACTGAGTTATTGTCAGAAACACGAGCTACTAATACAAGACCAAGCTGGGCACACAGAGCAGAGCCACAATTTCTGTGTGTGGTGCAACACCTTCAAATTCCACCAGCAGAGGGGGATGGTTTTGTTACTGCCAACACAGGTCTTTACCATGAACCCAGGTATCTGTACTGTTCTTCACAGCTCCAGGTGTGATCAAAAAAGAAAGCAGCTACACTCAGGACAGCCAGAAGTTAAGACATTTTAGATTACTCACCGAAACAAAGTTGTGCTGTCCCGCGTTGACTGAGCTAGAAAAAGTTGGTGACACATTAGTTGAGAAATTACCCTCTGCACACTGGGCTACAGGAACACCCCAATGGACCCTCCTCTTTCCAGCGCCAGTCATGCTACAGTCCTCACTTAAGTGCAAACAGAATTAGAAGACAGGTTCACTTCATTACTTCTTGTCTACATTTCAGAACTGCGTATTAGAAAGCCAATAAGCAATCTCTGAAAGGATAGGAAACAGTTATTTCAAAGAAAATTTAACATGGTACATAACCCTCAGATTCAATAATTTAAATTTTACCACGTCCACAGCAACCAACCCAAACAAGTGCATCTGGAGCTTTAGAAGAAAGTGGAACTCATGTACACACAGGCACAGAGTCTCTAATTTGGAGCTGAGGTACTGGTGTCTGCAATCTGGAGCTGAATTCCTCCCTTGAGTTCTACTCCAGTTGCTGCTCCAATAGGATACATACACTAAGGGGAGGTCTTTTATCTGCCTCTGGCAAACTGCAACTGAAATGAAAGTTGTATTTGCCAAGTTTGCAAATTTATGTTTAAAGGGAAGACTCAGTCCAATATAAAACATCTTTCACAAACCTATGAGAGGGTTTTTTTCCCCTCAGACAAGAACTTTATAACTTATTTGACTTCACTGCAATGAAAAGTATACAGCTGCTCGCATTTTAAAGTTTTTGGAATTGAGAGGAAGTCAGGGATTGCTTCCTTTGGAGACACTTCAAAACTCAAAAAGTATCAAGTTGCAAAAGTAGTCAAGAAGTCTATATACATTCAGGGCAGAGCCTGGAAATTGGCTCAGAAAGGCTTATTTTAAATTTGGTAGAAGGGAGGGGGGTTTACCTTCTCCAACATCCCCTTTGCATGAGATACTGCAATCAGGATTCCAAACCTACCACTGCCCAGCTGAGCAGCTCCTAATAACTGGACTGGAGGAGGTGAAAACCAGCTGGCAGCAAAGACAGCACTGAACAAGGTAATTTTTGACTGCAGCCTTACCTTGGTTCTGGAAAAGTCGTCTGTCTGCTGCTCTCTCAAATTCAGAAATGCTGACTTTCTTCCTTTTCTTATTCAAATGGAACACAGTGACAAACGCATCTTCAGCAGCAAGGTCTAGCAGCTGCAATTCCCCCCTGCCAAAACAAACCAAGCTGGAGAGGCATTTCGGAAACCCCCACCTGACAGGATGCAATTTTGATCATTGAAGCACAAAATAGAGAAGTTCTGCTCCCCAATCCCACCATAGGAGCTGCAGCCATACCTGGCATATAATAAATGTAAAAATTATATTTAAAAAAAAAAAAAATCACTTACATGCTGGAAACCCTCCTAGATGGGAGTGCTGGACGAGCTTCTTCCGTGCCTTCATGGTTAGATATCCGAGGTTTCAGAGGTGAAACTTGGGGTTCTGCCAACAAACCAAAACATTTCCTTTCCACAATTCAATCCAGCAAGAACACCAAAATGCAGCAGAGTGTCACATCTACACCACAGGCTGTAAATTACATTTACTGATGGGTTAAAATAAAGACCTGGTGAAAACTCTCCGGGTTCTGCTCCTGGGAAGGCTGGCAGTGACAAAACCAACAGTGACAGATGGCAGCACGTCCTCTGTAACTCACTCCTGACCCTACAGCCAAAGGCAGCACCAGGATTATGTGCTCAGTCACCAGGATAAGACCAAGCAAAGGGGATTTTGAAGAGGATTTTGAAGACTATTTCACCAGTGCAAGGCCTGGCCTTTCAGACAGTTCTATCCCATGTTCAGCTGCAACTGCAGTGACTCCTCTCTTGCATTAATCAGTCATAAAACGGTCTGAATTCTGTTCCACGTAACAGGGTAAGGATAACGGGCTACCAAGGAACAACCTCTGCTCTCAGCTCCACCAAAACACTGTCTTTCTGTTCTCAGTTCTCCTGAAAAAAGATACTTACGGGTCTGGATGACTCTCCTGAGCATAACCCGTGGTGTGTCATTGTCAGGGTCTGGGAACACCCTCAGTCTCCGCTTCCCCAAGGTGCTTCTGCGAGAATTACTGTTCTTCTCTGGATTTGATCCAGTCTAGACAGAAATCAGAGACAAGCAATTCAAAAACAGTATTTCCACCATTAAAGACCGCAGCATCAAAAGCGTCCACCATCCATCTTCTAATGACAACACACGCCGGCTAACGGGAAACATTTTTTCAAA